ACCCCCATGCTCAGCACCCCCAGGCTCCGCACCCCCAGGCTCAGCATCCCCAGAAGCTGCACCCCGAGCAGGACTACCCTCAGCAGGACCTGAGTCACCAGTGACCTCAACTGGCGTAGTCAAGGGAGGAGGGTCTACTTGAGACATACCTGAAGGAGCAGGACCGGGAGCGGGGAGGGGGTCTACATGGGGAGCACCTAGAGCGAGGAAGAGCGGCGGGGGGGGGGGGGGGGGGGGAGAGGGGCAGTGCGGTAGGGGAAGAGACGGTAAAAAGGAACCAACTCTTCGAACGTGAGGTCCTGAGAGGGGAAGACACGGCACGGGGTGGGGTGGTAAAACTGCCAACTAGGCGCGTCAGGGACAAAGCCAAGGAAGACACAGGGAACAGCGCAGGCGGAGAGCTTGTCCGCGGTGGTATCGCGGACAAAAGCACGAGCACCCCAGACCCGGAAACGCGACGCATCGCCAGCCTTCCCCGTCCACACCAGTGTGGGCGAGGTCTCTGGCAAGGAGACACGGGGCCAGAGGTTGAGCTGATGCGCGGCGTACCAGACCGCAAATGGCCACAGAAAATGGGGGGCAGCCGTATGGATCATGGAGGTACGAGCGACCTCCATGACTAAGCCAATGCGGCGCTCAACAACCCCATTCTGCTGTGGAGAGGCTGGAAGCGTGAACGTGTGGCGGATGCCATGCTCCACACAGAAGGCTGCTAAGAGGTTGGAGGAAAACTCCCCACCTCTGTCAGAGTGCAGACGTAGGACGGGAAACTCCGTCTCGAACCGCTCGTGGAGCTGGAGACGAGCACCACGGATCGAAGGGATCAAAACATTAGGGACCTTATCTTTGATGTGCAAGGGGAAGACCGTGGTGCAACGCGTGTAGTCATCGACGACCAGCAGGAAGTACCGCTCGTGGCCCTGTCCACGGACGCGGGTTGGGCCCCACACGTCCAAGTGAAGAGTTTGCAGGGGAGCCTCTTTGGGAGGGAACGAGGAGGAGTGAGGAGCGGCGCGCTGCCGCCCCTCGACACAGGGAAGATAGGGAGGAGTAGGTGAGGGTGGGAGGGGAGGGAGAACTCTGGGAAGGCCAGAGACAAGGACATGGCGGTGCATGCTACGAAGGCGCTGCACCGAGGGGTGACCAAGGTGGTGGTGCCAAAGGAGGGTCTGGTGCGACAAAGCGCGACACGAGCAGGGGGCCGCTAGTTGACCTAATGCAGATGCAGACGCAGCTATCTGAGGGGACTCAGTGGTCAGTGTGTAGAGGTTCGACCCCGGCTGCCAAGTGAAGGTAGCCAGGTGATGACCCGTCTGACCACACGTGCAGTGTGTGACACGCTCATAGGCAGGGGTGAACTGGTGAACACCCGCGTCCTAGAGCGCAGAACCCACCACCAAGTTTGTAGAGAACGAGGGGAGGTGAAGACCTGACAAGGAGCCAGACGGGACCGCCGGACACGGCAGGACCGTGGAGGAGTGCGCAAGGACTGGACCCCCAGAGGGGTCTGCCAGGGAGACTGGAACCGGCCAACTGAGCGGCGTGAGGGTGGTGTTGTCGCGAAAGAAGGAGCGGGAAGCACCTGAGTCAAGTGTGAAGGTGTACAAGGCCTCAGCAGGCGGAGTACCAGAGAGAGAGCAGACTCACCAGCACCTGGAGCAAGAGACGCACGAGCACATAGAGCAGCAGGCTCTTTACCTGGGTTTGGCGGTACGCACAGGTAACAGGCACGGTCAGCACTAGTAGGCAATGCATACATGGCAGTGAGAATATCATCATAGTCAAGAGCAAAGATATCTACCCTCTGCCTAAGCAGCTCCACCCAGTCGGGGAGCTCAGAGTCGTCGCCAAACTCGGTACGCCAGGCGTCGCTCTGACGGGCGTAGCAGCGGGACTGTGTGTGACCAAGCGTCCCTCAAGCCTGACCAGTCCGAGCACCTGTACGAATGATGTATGGGCAGCGAACGGTACTCCTCGACCCTCTACTCTGAGCGTACCGCTCGTGAAGCTGCTGGGACGTGAGTGTCTAGCGTGGACGACGCTGCAGCTGCAGCTGGCCACTGCTAGACGCTCCTAACTGACCAGCTCTAGGGCGACAGCTACGACGGCTAGCGCCACAACCCCAACTAGTGTACCACTCGCTAAGCTGCTGGGGCGTGAGAGACTCGTGGGAACGTCGCTGGAGCTGCATCTGGCCACCGCAAGTTGCAGTAGTAGTAGCAACAGCAGCAGCCTAGCAGCACTAACAGAAGGAGTAGCAGTAGCAGCAGTAGCAGCGCGGGCAAGGCAGGCGCGGCAGGCAGGCAGGCAGGCAGTCAGGCAGGCAGTCAGGCAGGCAGGCAGTCAGGCAGGTAGGCAGGCAGGCAGGTAGACAGGTAGATGGCGCGGCAACGCGCGAACAAGGCAGGTGCTCACCAGTGAGGTAGGGGCGGCAGCACCGAGTGCAGGCGCGTCTCGGGATCCTGGGGCGGTGTCGCGGGGTCCAGGGGCGGCTGCACGGAGTCCAGGAGCGGCTGCACCAGGGGCGGCTGCTTCAGGGGCCAGGGGCGGCTGCTCGAGGGTCGAGGGGCGGCTGCACCAGGGGCGGCTGCTTCAGGGGACAGGAGAGGCTGCTCTGGGTCCAGGGGCGGCTGCACCAGGGGCGGCTGCTTCAGGGGCTAGGGGCGGCTGCTCTGGGTCCAGGGGCGGCTGCTCGAGGGTCCAGGGGCGGCTGCACCAGGGGCGGCTGCTTCAGGGGCCAGGGGCGGCTGCTCTGGGTCCAGGGGCGGCTGCTCGAGGGTCCAGGGGCGGCTGCACTAGGGGCGGATACTTCAGGGGCCAGGGGCGGCTGCTCTGGGTCCAGGGGCGGCTGCTCAATGGTCCTGGGGTGGCTGATTCAGCAGCGCGGCGACGTAGGGGTGTGCGAGGGCGGGGCCGAGCCGCGTGCTGCCAAAAAGCGTCGGCGTAGCGGGCAGGGAAGGGCGGCTCGCGGGCTCTACAGGTGCGCGACGGGACAGGCGGAGTCGCGCGCTGCCAGCAGGGCAGCGCGACTGGCTCCCGTGGGCGGCGCGAAGGCCCTAAGGCGACGCGACGGGCGGGGCCGGGCCCTAGGACGAGAAAAGTTAATAATAAACGCGCGTCGCGCGGCCAGCAGGGCGGCGCAACGGGTGGGGCTGCTCGACAGGCAAGGGAAACCCTAAAACACGAGAGTTAACGGTGGGCCCACTAGGAAATTAGGTCCTAAGACCTAAGTGCTCTTAATACCATGTTAGAGTAGGTTGATGACTATCGAGAAAGTTTGGGTACAAGGATAAGAACGCCAAGGGGTTGTACCCTACATTAGCTACCCCACTACAGCCTAACCAGATACAACATGCATATAATTGACACTGTCCGCCCTTACCAAGCATGCCTTTAGTTCAGCTTCTGGTAGGACGATTTGCCAGTACCGCCGGACCCGGTGACAACGTGTCCCCAACTTCACCCCATCATAGCTCACTCCCTTCTCCAATTCAGCTTCCACCAGCTCACGTTGGACAGAGAAGGTTGAGTCCTATGGGAGAAAGGCCAGGGAAGGATGAGAAACGCCATAGCTAGGTTAGCAATGCCAGCCACAATGATGTGCTCAAGGCTACCAATAGTGAGTCAAGCCAACTATGAGTGAATTTGTCTTCACACTTGAACCCTCTTGCAAGCGGCTTCCAGGAAGACCACGCTTCTCAAAAGGAGGGTGGTAGAGTCCCACTTGACCACATGAACTTTTTATCTCATTCTTTGTCTCTCCACAATTGGCATGACAACAATGAAAGGGTGGCAAGGAAAATGCTGCCAACATTGCACAATGACAACGGAACAGTAAAGATCGGCAATTGTCAACAATCGACCAGTACAACGTGCATTGTCATCGAGGTCTCATGTTAATACACGAATGTGGGCTTGCAAAAATAATCCCACATCCCAAAACTCCACAATGTCCAGATTTGACTACAACACATTTCTATACATTGGACGATATAATCGTAGTTGAACAGAATCCAGGCATGCGCATCTATATTTGGGTTTATGCAGCTCAGTCTCCAAACTAACCCATTCCACTGCTTGTAAAGGCATTGGCTAGCACTGCTATCCTGTGAGACAAGAAGTTGCAGTAGTAAACAAGAACATACAAACAGTGCAGTCTCATGGCCCGATTCCTCCTATTGCCACCCCTCCTACCCACGGGTAATGCTAGGCTCTGACAGGAAGAGTTAGAATATAGCACATGGCTATCCATATCTATGCTTCTCACTTCAGCTGCTCGGTAGGCTCTTCCAGCTGGCTCGGGCTCGGTGTCAGCTGGGTACAAGGAAAACAAACACACATGCATATTCCGAAAGTTCTTCTCCAGCTTGCCTCTTCCCACCACTGCCCAATCCTTGCACACTGCCCAGTTGCCGCCCCTTTTCTTCCAGCCCTCCTCTTATTAGTCAGCTCAAACCACCATTAAGTATCTTCAACCCTCGACACGCTGCTGATCCCTCGTTATATACAATGTGTACAGTTTTTACCTCCTTTCCCTCTATAAAGAACCAAGATATGAAAAATGCTATGCTTCACATTCCAAGAATCAGGACTGAGAGGATAACAATAGCAGCAGCATTATAGAGGTTGATGGCAGCAGCAACGAGCATGCAAGGGGCAGATGCCGATGGTGCCCTCGGCGCCGGTGCTGCAGCTTGCCCTGGAGATCCAGCCGATGCTGGTGCTGCTGCCGATGCTGGCGCTTCTGTGTGTGCCGAGACTGGATTATGGGCACAGACATAGAGGGACGGAGTTTGATAATAGTCTGCAAAGCATTCGTAATTAATCAACCAGCCCTTTTTGGTCAGGCCGATGTAGCGCCACTCTTGTGTGTGTGCGTGTTCGTGCGTGTGTGCGTGCGTGCGTGCATGCGTGCGTGCGTGCGTGCGTGTGTGTGTGTGTGTGTGTGTGTGTGTGTGTGTGTGTGTGTGTGTGTGTGGAGTCGAAGCATAGAGACTTACATAAACTGGGCGTGCAAGAGGAGCAGAAGGAGAAGCAGAGGCGGCAGAAGCTGGTGGTGTTGCTCTGCAGCACCATGCACTTGGAGGCGTCAGCAGGGCAGGTCAGCCCTGAGCCCGAAATGTTCCTGGGGGCCAGAGGGGAAGGAGAAGGACGGGAGTAAATGCAGTTTTTTCTCATTATTACGGAAAAAGATTCTGCTGAAGTGTCTGTTGGCCAAGAGAGTTGTTGTAACTTTGCATTTCTATCCTGAAAAAGGCTGCTGGAGCAATGGAGTTTAAATGCAAGTAAGATATTAAACTTAATCAATAGAACTATTCACTGTAGCATACATAAAAGAGCAAAACAAGAGACACCTGAATGGACCATATTGAAACGCTTTCCTATTACATGGTTTACCCGATGAGTGAGTTATGTCAAGTCTGCGTTGGCGAATGGGATTGTTTTCATTTTTTTGGAGTTCCTTTCACCAACTAAAAGTGCATTGTATCCGTTCAGGCTATTGACATTTTATCAAAAACAAAATGTGAGTACAGTATTTTCTACATTCTGATTGGGCCCAATTGTTGTTCTGCTGTGCATCAAGTGCATATACCAAGCAACTACTGGAGATTACAAACCATTAAAAAGATGTGCCACAAATATATATATATTTCACACTAAAGTGCGCAAACTTCCCATTCTCCAAAATATTTACTCTCAACTGGAAGAATATCTCAATCGACTGAAAATCATAGTTTTGTGATTATCTACATTAGTGTCCTGAGATCTCTACTGAGTTTATGCGAGTAGTAAAGATGGAGGTAACAAGATTCGCGCGAGGGAAGCAAGTAGGAAAGACGGAGGTAACAAGATCCGTGCGAGGGAGCTGTGGCATTTTAGCCCGTGGTAAGTGGGGTCAGGTTGCACTACTCACAGAGATGTCAGATTGACAAGTATGCCCAGGCTAGCTGGTATGGGGCCACTCAAGTTGTTGCCTCCAAGGCCCCTGCCGCCACGTGCCAAGCCATGACGTCCAAAGCCATGCCATGCCATATCATGAAATGCGATGCCATCCCATGCAGTGCCATGCCATTCCAGACGATGCCATGCCGTACTATGCCATACCATGCCGTGCAACACCGTGCCATGCAATCCCATGAAGTGTCATGCGATGCCATTTCATGCCATGCCATGCCATCTCACGCCACCCATGCCTTGCCATGCAGGGCATGCCATGCCATGACATGCCACCATATGCATGCCAACAAACTGTTTGCATAAGCTTGTTGCTACGAATACACTGAAAGCTGCAGCAGTGGCAGCAGGCGTCCGTTTCGTAGTGGTAAGTGTCACCCAGCTAATGGTTGCAACAATTTTCCCGGACGATGTGTGCAAAAAACATTAAAGCATCCATGATTCAAGGAACCCTTGCTTCAGCACATGTTTCAAGTAGCATATCTGCTTCACGACAGCACCCCTGCCTCGTGGTCAAGATGGTTGTCAGCAGCTTACAGGTGTTGCAGCGATGCATAGTGGGAGATGGAGTCAGATAGGGAGCCATTGAGCTGGTTGTTGCTCACGTCCCTGGCGATTAAGTGGGGAGGTGGAGGGGGGTGGGTTGTGCGAGGGTGAACAGACAAGAAAAGAGAGTGGGGGGGAAAACCGAAAGCAAGGGGAATGAGGATGTATTACAGCATCTCACGGATCTCACATGGACAACTGCTTTCTGAGTACTCTGATCTGAACTATGCGATGCCAACGCCTGTGCCTGCTAGAACAGATCTGGCCTTCTCGAATGGGTGGGTGAAGCTGCAACCGAGGAGATTTCAAGGGCACGTGAAGTGCATAACCAAGCAAGCGACCAACAAGTATAAGAATAAGGTGATGGACTCACAGCACAAGTAGAGATGGGGTTTGCCACGAAGCAAAGCTTGAGAGGGGACCAGAGAATGCATTGCCTTGCAGGTCACTGCGTGGAGGCATATGATGCATGGGATGGGGATGGTAGAGTGAATTGTAGCGTGTACGACAGTGAATGGTCACATTTTCACAGATGCGCTGAGCATTGCCCATAATATTTCTGAAATCAACTGGGAACGATGCAGCATGTCCTTCAGCACACGCGCTTCCTGCCATCCTTCCACACAGGAGCAAATTCGAGGTGCACTTACAGAGCAGCAAGGTCTGGGGCGAGAAGGGCAGCAGGAAGAGTCCCCTGGAGCTGGTTGTGGGCCATGGAGCTGGAGAGAGTGCATGGGCGATGGTGGAAGTGACCAGATGGTAGCATGCCCCATGGAATGTCCTAGAAGCGACGAGCTGCAGTATGAACTGAGTGATCCAGCGATCCATGGGCCATGGCATATCCAAACGCACACGTGCAGTGTATACCACACGAGTTTCCATTCCACCTCTGCTTCTTTGCCGCATGCGCCCTTTTATGGCCAGGTGCATGCACGCTTCCCCTTTGCGTACCCAGATCCCTTACATCACAGAAAAGGTGGCATGTCACGGCACAACAAAACATGGCACAACATGGCAATTATGCTTGTACACTTCATTTGGTGTATATTTGTGCTGGAACTTTTTTTGTGGTCGGCCCTTCAAGCACACTCAACTGTGGTTGGTCAGTCCAATCACAACTGTACTAGCACCAGCACCTCACACTAGAGGATAGTTCACTGCAAACGCATTCATGAGCAATGGTCTTCGGGCCGTTTGACCACCTTTTGAATGTCCCACTCTGTCTTTTCTTGCTACGCACGTCGCTATGCATGCTCCATATATCCTTTGATCAAGGCATCTGTTTCCCATGTGTCTCAGACATAGATGGATGCAATGTCAGGATCTCCCGCCTTACCGACTCCTGGCTGGCATTGGCCTTGCCACATAGCACCTGACCCGGCGGGGCAGCACCTAGGGGTGGAGACTTCGTCTAGCAACTCATAAACAGCCCAACATGCTGTTGAACTCACTTTGCCTTCACGTGCTGTTCCTTACCTTCCTCATAACTCGAGTACCACTTGATGGGAAGGCATGGGCGCACTCACAGGGACTTCAGTTGCTCCAGGGCCCAAATGGTTGTGGGAACAACGCCAGAAAAGTGGTTGTGGGAAATGTTGCTGTTGATGCAAGCATTGGCAAGGAATTGGCACAGCTGTTAAGGAAGAGAGGAAAGAACATCAGATTTGAACAAACAAATTACCACCTCAATTTCAAAAGCAGGGGATGCTGATAGAACGGCTTACAAATGCTCCAAGGACTTTACGCCAGCTATTTCTGGTGGAAGGGGTCCCGTGAAGTTGTTGTGTGAGAGGTTGCTGCACGCATTAAAAAGTATGGCTTCAATGCAATAAAGGGTATGGTTTGGATGCAATAAATGGAGTGTACTGGATGCAAATGTCAACATCGCATTGGCATGTGGGGGCACACCTGCATGATAGGGAAAGAAGATGTGCGTGAAACTTGATTGGGAACGCAATACATGTCTTTAGTAAGAGATTCCTCATTCAAGAGAACTGAGGGGAAGGGTCCAGTGAAGCTGTTGTTAGACACGTCACTGTGGATGAGGAAGGGGTATAAATTGAAGGTGGGCAATGACGCATGGAGGCAAGCATGAGAACGGAGGGAGGGTAGCAAGGATAAATCAATAAAGCAAAGAAGATGGAAAAATAAGGGAAAAGCATCGATTGGGTAAACTGCTGAATGAGGAAGTACAGAAAAAGTAATTAACCAATTAATTCAATGTTGCAGAGTTGGAATCCACATAAGAGATAACTTCAGCTATTTCACCATCAAGAACAAATGCACGAGCACAGGACAATAATGGAGGAGGTTGCATTTCAGAAGTATTCATTCTTCTAGACATGTACTGATGGGATGGAAACCCAGTCATATCTAGTTTGAACCAATATAGTGCCTGGAAAATGTTTTCAAACAAACAAGGATGGGACATTAGTCTAGAGATGGCCTTTTGGACAAACACTAGGCTGTTCACCAGTATTTTTATCCCACATAGGTGTCGCGTCAATGAGTCCCGTTGAGACTGATAAGCACGTGTACTCAATCAAACGTACCACTTGGATATCCATGACAAGCTTACAGCCATTCGATTTTCAAGTTGGGGTAGGATGGAAATGGGCCTGAAAAGTTGCATTATTTGGCAAACCTAATAATCATTGGATGAAATACGAGTTGAAGAGTGGCGGGGGGAGGGGAGGAATAGGGCAATGGTTCGAGAGAGAGATCTTGAGAAACTTGAAGTAAGAGAAGAGGCTTATCCAGGTCGAGGCACGTGAGAAGAGTGGGCAATAGCGCTTTGATATATAAAAACATCTTTAACATTCAATGCAACCATTGCTGATTCACATAACACACAACCATTTACATTGCCACTCACAATGATACTTGAGCATCAGAGGATTTTTTAAAGAGCCCATCCAAGCCTCCGCTAAGAGAATTGTGGCTGAGGTCTCTGTTGAGGGCATGCAAGATGGTTAGCATCAGAGGCAAGCACTGGTAATGAGGGCAATGGCGTATGCAATAGGATGGATGGAAAGAAGGGAGGATGCGCCTGGCCGTGGTTGTTACTGCAACCCCTTGGCTGCTGTGTGTGTCGTGCACCTGTCATGGATGTGGCAATTGTAAGTCATACATAGAGGAAACAATGTGCGTGTGTGAGAGGGACACTGCCATCATCAATGGCAAAGAAGTGGGTGAGGGAGTGAGTCGAAAAGGGATTGCAGGAACTATTGAGGCAAGTCATAGAGACATTGAGCATAGAGCGACGAGGACAAAGAGTACAAGGCACTGCATTATACATTTCGGCCCCAATGCTCCAAGTATACCCGTGGTCTTCCACAGCTGAGGGCTTTAACGACTTGGTTGCACCCATGGCATCAACAGCTGTCCCTGATGCCACGACGGCTGGCGGGCAGCACGAAGCAGGTGGAAAACAGCAATGCCTCCCCATGCGGGCGCACCCGCTTCAGCCTGCACTGTCTGCCATTCCATCTACTCCACAGCCTGCACATTATGCCAACTCTCACCCATGGCTGCCCCCTTAGTCCTTTCCCAATGCATCTGCCGCAGAGCTTCTGACCTCGCCCGCACCACCCCCCTCTATCTGGTACCCTTTGAAGAGTGGTTGCGGTGGGGCCATGCCCACCTCAACGCCCATTGGCAGGCACTGCACTGCACGCACTTTCCTCTACACCCTTTGGCCAACACGTCCTGCATGCCCTTCCCTAGGGGAGTCCGAGCAGGCAAGGCAAGAACGTGGGCCCAGGCCTCATTTGCTGTGCCTGTGGAGGGGTTGGGCCACGCGTTGTAGACTCGGCAATGAGGTTTTGCTACAGCTTCCCTTCCAGCTTCGTCCAGCCCCATCAGCAGCTTATCTCCTTGCTGCCCATCCACTCGCCATGGCCCTCTATCCCTTGTCTGCTTGCCTGGCCCATTCACCCACCCCTCGCCTCTGCATGCCTGGTCTCTGCGCAATTCCCATACCCAGCCAGCTCTCCTTTTCTGAGCGTGCGGGATTAGTTGTTGGCCATGGCCTTCATTCCTGCTTCTCAATGCCGCTTTCCGGGATGTGAGCATCCAAGGATGCAGTTTTTATTGCCCACGCTAGACGCCTGTCTTCTGCCCCATGAACCACCACACCGCTCACTCCAACACCGGAGACCAGATGTAGGGAGCGGTAAGGGTCTCTGTCCCATCACGGTGCCAACCAGCATCTGGAACCCAATCCGAGGTGGCAAAGGGTGGGGACTGGCTCCTAATGACGTAGCAGCAGCGAAAGCCTACTACCAGCTCAACTGGCCTGCACTTTGAGACAAGGTCTCAACTCTTCAAAAACTATGAGAGTCTGGCAGCCAACCCTTGGACTCACCAGTCAGCAATACCGCACTGCAGTGATTCCTCCAGCACTGGTTCTAAGGGCTGCAGCAATGCGAGGCCACTAGCTACTAGACATTGTGAAGCCTCCACCTTACCCAAGGGGTTTGAATCTCCATTTTGACTTTTAGTACGTCCTGCTTGCCACTTGAATCTGGGAAACATGGGCCTTGCTGGGTTCGTCTTGGTTGCTAGGCATGCACAGTCACAAGAACTTCTTATCTTTGCAGGAGCAATGAAATACCCACAGGGGAAGGCGTGTGGGAACATTTTTGTAACCAGTTTGGCAAATGTTTCACACCCAGAAAACGTGAGAGAAATGTGAAACGTTTTGCTCATGGTTCTTTTTAAAAGGCCCGTGGGACGAAACTTTAAGCTATTCAAATGTCCCCCCACTCTTCTCGATTATAAGTCTGTCTCCTCTCCTCCGAGGCACCTTTCCCCCCAACTCCCCTTCGGCTCATAGTCTTTCAAGGTAATCCATGGACGCCCTATAGGCTGTAATTTGGGAGGGAATCTTTCCATTTGCTCTCCTGGCCACAGTCAGCTTTGGTGGCAAAGGGCTTACACCCCACTCCATCACATGAATGTGACGTGACTGACCCATTATGTGGAAGGACCGCTGAGACCAAGGAAGCTGGCCTGGCATGGCAGCATTGTGTTTTGCGGAGTAGCCGAGACGTGATGGGTGATGTGCGACGAGTGCATGGCGAACGCCGGTGCCTTTTGAAGAAGACACGGTAGGTAATGGAATGGACTCATCGATTGCGCTGAATTTCCAGGGTGTGGAGGCACAGAACATCTCACATGGTACTGTCGTAGTCGATGCCATAGGCGGGCAGGGATCCCTGGAGGTCGTTGTAGCTCAGATTGCTGAAAGGGATCAATGGTCATGGATGCTTTGTCCATGCATGGCAAGGATAGCTAAAAGGTTGGAATCTCTCATAACATGATGTAATCAATGGCAAAAACAATTAAGGGAAACAAGAGCATGGGTTGATTGAAGTCACGTCTAGAACCCCTCATGCCTCGACCTGCACCCATAACTTATGGCTGACTCGAGTCGATTTATTTGACTCACAAGTCACGACTGGAACTGAATTCCCTAAATTCAAAGGAAAATACAACAAATTGTGTTCTTATAAAGGGGACCAGAGGAGATAAGATGAGGTGGGAGGAGATGAAAGGAGATGAGAAGAGCTGAAAGGAAGTTAGAGGAGGTGAGAGGAGATGATCTAAGTTGGAATATACGCTTAGAGGCCTTAGCGTTCAGCGTTTGAACGCTAGCGTGTATACGCAATACGCGAAACGCTAGCGAATACGCTATACGCAACCCAATTTTTTTTTGGGGCAGCCCGCCCGACCCAAAAAATTTCAAACACACCAAAAGATGCGGAATGGCACGGCGAGTGATTCTGCGACGTCAGATTGCACGTCCGAGATCTAGGGTTGCGGGAAATTGGATTCATGTCCTGGTGTCGCGATTTCACTTTCACATGTTGCACGTTGACATATTGATGGTCACGTACATCGAGTCGCGTGTGCATGTTTGAACATTTCTATCCCAACACGTTACCGCATTCAAACCCACAACATTCATTCAGTCCAACCCTTCCGACCCAATCCCCCGCCACTCGTCATGCTATTTATCAACTCGTCAGAACGTCCATCCCATTCAGTAATCCTCTCCCGCTACCAACAACTAGCCTCAGTGCGATGTCATCCAGCAGTCCGCCTCTCACGCCGCATTCCGATCAGTCTGTGGAGAGTTCTATCCCTCGTCCAGAAGGGACCAGGGAGTACCTTCCCGATGTAGTCCACGACGTCTTCAAGCACTTCAGTATCATCAAGCGCGAAGAGGGCAAGGCACAGCAGTACGAGTGCAAGTACTGCTTCAAGGTCTTTTCAGGTGCCGCCATCCGATGCGCTCAGCACCTTAGCTCATGGAAGAAGATGAAGCGCCGCGAGGTGGCGCTTTGCGGGAAGGCACCTGCTGATGTTCGCCTCGAGATCCGCAAGAAGTACGAGGCGCAGGCTGCTGCGAAAGAAGAGAAACAGCGAGCGGTGTTGGCTGCTATAGCGTCGGTCAAAGCCGGTGGCAAACAGGCCCGCATGACCGACTACCTCGAGGGCGACGCTGCTGCGGCAAAAAGTGAAGCACATGAAGGTCTTGCGCTCATGATTGCCGCATGTCGCCTCCCGGAGAACCTGGTCGAACATCCGCTCTTCGTCAACTCTATGCACCTGGTCGCCCGCGCCGGGAAGGGCTACCTTCCGCCACGTCGCAAGTACATCGGAGGTGCCGGACTGCTCGCTTGCCGCAAGGGTATTGAGAACGGCTTGATGGGGATCAAGGCTAGCTGGAAGAAGACAGGTGTTACCATCGCGTCCGACATGATGACAGACAAGTGTGGCAGGCCGCAGGCGAATGTCCTCCTCGTCAACGACGCGGGCGCTGTCCTGAAGGAGTGTGTGGACTGCAACATGGAGAAGAAAACAGGGGGGTACATCGCGGGGATACTGAAACCCGTCGTGGAGGAAGTCGGACCCGAGAACGTCGTCGCGTTCTGTATGGACGGGGGTTCCAACTACGCGTCGGCGTGCCGGAAGCTGATTAAGATGTGGCCCCACATTCAACAGGTTCCATGTGCCACCTACGTCATGGACCTGATGATGGATGGAGGACGTGGGAAAAATGGGGTGGGCAAAAAAGGTGGTTGACCGTGGCGGTGAGATGAGCTCCTTCACCCGCAACCACCATTGGACGCGAGGTTACTTGCGGGACCGTAAGTAAGTTGGTGGAGGGGAAGGTGTTGCAGCCGTTGAAACCCGCGGGGACCCGCTTTGGGACCCAATACATTGCTATCTCCCGTCTCTGTCAGCTTCGCCCCACCCTTACGCAGATGGTCGTCAGTGACGAGTGGAAGGTGTGGGCTGCTGGATCGCGCAAGGAGGTTGCAGAGAAGTTCGCCGTGCAGGTACTCGACACGGCGTGGTGGAAAACTGCCGAGTTTTTCACCAAGCTGATGCAGCTCCCTTTCAAGGCGATGCGCATGACTGACGGGGAGGCAAAAGGGATGATGGGCAGGATCTATGACGTGATGCTTCAACTCACGGAGGACGTTGAGGCACTCGTGGACGCGGATGAGGAGCAGTTGTGCATCAGCGATAAGAAGCAGATCTGCCGCATCCTCAAAGACCGGTGGGACGAGGGCCTCGCGTGCGCCATGCACGTGGCAGGCCGCATCCTCAACCCCGCAAACCAGGAAGATGACATTTTCGGCGGCGACGCCGAATGCACGCGTGTCTTCAAGGCGTTTCTTCACCAGCATGCAGAGTTCCTCGTCGGCCACGACGGGAAGGGGAGGGATGCGGCCTGCGATTACTTGGTTGAGCTGGGGGACGGGCTGAGGGATTTCCTGGACATGAAGGGTAGTTTCGGGATGGCAGAGGCTGTGGCACAAAGGGAGATGGTGAAGGCGGGAAAATACAGCATGGTGAAGTGTTGGCAGTGGAACGGAACAGATGCCCCTCGCCTTGCGTCCCTCGCCATCCGGATTCTCTCGCAGCCCGTCTCGGCTTCACCCTGTGAGCGTGGCTGGTCATCGTGGGAGTCCGTCCACACTGCCCGCAGGAACCGCTTAGGATCCGCCAAGTGTGCGGATTTGGTGTTTGTTGCGCACAACTGGAACGTTGTGCGCAACTGGCACACGCGCAAGGATGTGATGCCGAATGTTGTGTGTGGGAATGAGCCGGAGCACCCCATCCCCGAAGGTTACAATGTGTTGGATGAGCAGGAGGAGGAGGAGGAGGAGGAGGAGGAGGAGGAGGAGGAGGGTGAGGATGAGGACGCCATCTTGGAGGACGAGTATGAGTAGTGGGTAACGAAGTGGGGGGGAGAGGAGGGTGGGTATAGTAGGGAGAGAGTAGTATGACTCGTAACTGGATTTGTATGGCATGGCTAATTTTAGTATGGGGAAAAAAAAAAAACAGAAACACATCCCACATGAAATCCCACTGGACCCAATCCCGGGAGGGGTTTTTTACCCTGCCCGGGGAACTTTTTTCCCTGCCCAGAAATGCGTATCCTGGATCTGACCACTCTAGCGTTCAGCGTTCACACGCTAGCGTATATACGGAACGCGTATATACGCCAAACGCGTTTATGCCAATCTAGGAGATGATTGGAAGAGGGCAGATGAGAGACACACCGTACCATCCAAGTTTTACAACAAATTCCACCCCCCCACTGAACGGCACTCAACTTGAGTCATCACAGATTCATTTGAGTCAACTGACTCACTGAATCAACGTTTTCTAGGCACCCCCCAGTCGAATTCGCTATGCATCGACCAAGAAAGCATGTCGACCTGACTCGATTCAGGTCAAGTTGGTTACATATAAAAAGAAAACAGGCTTGTTTGGTGGTGTCACGGATTGCAAAGCATGAGTTTATCGCGAATCAAGTCCTTGAAATATAAAACAATATCACCTACTGCGTTCTGTCCTTGAATGCTCCTTCGCATCAACAAACGACAAGTACAGCAAAATGTAATTGGCAGGGCAGCACCCTTATCAGAGGGCACGGTAAACGAGCCCATGCAGTTGCTCCTAGGGGACTATCTGTCTTGCCTCTTGACAGCAGCTGCCTGTCAGTCCATCCATCTGGTGCGCTTTCAGGTGAGGAGATCTTGGAAGAAGTTGAGGTGAGCAACGGTGTGACAAGCACTGATGCAGTCTCACCGGTGTTGGTTGGGGTTGAACGGAGGCGGTATACCAACACGTGAAGGGTGATTTCAATGAGGCGCACGCAGGCTCTGCTTCCAGGCCACGGCGCACTTGTACCAAACAGGGGTGGGTTCCTGTGTTGCCCTTTCCCTTCCCTTCCGTCCCACTCTCTCTCCATCTCTCCCTCTCCCATGTGTAGCATACTCATAGTGACCACCCATGACTCACAGTTTCTTGGCGTTGATAGCAGTGGGCATGATGGTGAGGTGATTGTGGGAGAGGTCTCTGCACGAAGTGAGGGCAGGCGGAGGGGAGGGAATGTGGAGAAGAGAACGGACATGTACGTTGAGATAGGGGCTTGAATGCTTGAGTGCCACACGCCAAGCGATGTGTGGTTGAAAGCAGCACTGTATTGGAGGAGCATGAGGGAAAAAGAAGGTGGCGTTTTTACATAATGAAGAACGAGCATTTCTTCACTAACAAATTAAGCAGAATATATGGCCCATGCCAATCTTAGGCTATTGGGAATGCAACAAAAAAGCCTGGCGATATGCTGCCGAAGCAGCAGCAGGAACGGGCGGGGGGATATCACAGGGAGACAGTTGCGACGAGATGAAACACAGGAGACATCCCAAGAGAATCCAACACCTGATTCTGTTTGGTGGACACTGAGCATGCACGGTGCACCACAGAGGTGCGCTGCAATCCCGGCCACTTGTATCTGCATGCAAGGTGCCGCAGACCTTGGAGACTCACAGGGTTTGGAGGGTTCCACGATTGAGGGCAGGAACGGCACCAGTTAGGTTGTTGAAGGAGAGCCCCCTGTGTTGTGTGCAGGCACACACATGTGGAGCGAGGCCAACGCAGGCACGTCAACTATGGGTGGACAGAGCAATGCAGAGACTCTGTGCAATGGTGTGCTATTCCGTATGAGAAGGAATTGTACAGTGCAGAGATTATCCTCGAGCTAATGCCTGCTTGTGATGTTGCAACTCTGTAAAATCTCCCTAGCCTTTCCTGGAATGACATGATTAGAACGTCAATTATGCCACACCCATGGTCCACCCTTCACAGATCAAAAGCTGGTTTGTGGATTGGTGCTGATGCAAGTCAGCACCAAGGAGCAAAACGCATGCAGTAGAGTGGAGGAAGAAGAAAACGAGTGCAGGTATGAAAGGAGGGGTGCGGAGCTATACAGATGTCGTCTCAGGACGTACACTCAGCAAAGATTAAACCCGTTGTTCATTCTTTTGCATGTGGTTTCGGTTGAAAGGCATGGTGAATAAATGAAGGTGAAGATGTGGGGCCTTACAGATGACTCAGGATTATGAACTCGCTGATTCCAGGAGGGATACTTCCTGACAGGTTGTTGCAATAGAGCTCCCTGGTGGGGCCAATACGAGGAGGAACGCAAGGACGGTATTGCCTTGTGGGAAACGACCACACGATGAACCACCTTCACAAGTGCTTTGTTGGCAATCCCTTCTACAGCTGCCCTCCCGACCCCGCTGTTCACAACCAGGTAATCTTGCATATTAAGTAGGATTCTCTTTTTTATATCGACAACTACTGCATCCGTAAACATTTCATGAACGGAGGAAGAAGGAGAGAAAGGGAGCGGAGAGTGGGAGAGAAGGGAGGCGTACAGATCACTGAGAAGGGAGAGGGCGGAGATGCTGGAGGGGATAGAGCCAGTGAAGCCATTCAGACCGGCCCGCCTGGAGGTATAAGGGAAGGGGGAAGAGGAGAGGCGGATCAGTCCGCAGTTGGCTGGTGAAAAAGGAAGCGGGTCGAATGCTCCCACAGGCAAAGTCAACAATAAAATGGTTGGAGAGGTCTGAATCCAAACCAACACGTTCATCTGAGCAATCCAATATGTCAACCCAACATGGATGCGGCCTTGACACAGCGGATGACTCACAAAGTACGCAGCTCTGTAAGCGCCATCCATTCAGTGGGGAACGGTGCAGAGCGGTGGACATCAAAGTTGCCGGTGACGTCCCTGCATGGGGGTCAAGGGCAGGAGGGTGGTGATGGTTGCACTATGCAATGCAGTCAGTGGAGAGGCACAGGGGGGGGCACTGCAAGTGGATTCAACGTACATTTCGACTATCCCTCTAAGGGCAGGGTGGCATGATACAAACCCGAGGGAATCACCCATAGGAACCGAGCTTCAGCAGATTCAAGAAAGCCTTGACAAAGCTCCGGCAGCGAGCAAGGTAAGCACAGCGTGAGTGCGCAAGTGGCAAGACTGTAGCTAGTCGCAGGTGGTGCAGGTGGGAAGGGTAGATGGAACCCACGAATGTTACGTGCGTTCCCCATTTTATCCAGAAGCAGGGGCAAGGGGCGAGGGGCTCGTAGTGGCACTCACAGATGAATGAGGTTGGAGAGTGAACTCATCCATTGTGGTAAGCGGGTGATGGGAAGGAAACTTAGGTCACTGCAACAGAGGGAAGAAGAGAGGGGGAAGAGAGGGCGCCCTGCCAGTTCGACCATGGGAATGTCTTGATGCTTCAACGATAGGACCTATGGATCCTTGAAGGAGAGACGTGTTTAGGTGCTCCGGTTTGGATTGAAGTACCCGGGATGGATGAAATGCTTCTGATTTCGATATTGTTGTAATGTTGAGCGTATGAGACTTTTTAGACGCCCCCAAAACATAATATGTCGTTAATGGGACTTACAGGGTTGTGAGTGAAGTAAGGGCTGAAAGGGAGGAAGGTAGCTCCCCAGCCGTCAGGTTGAGACTCATGAGAGCCCTGAGGAGAAGTGAGTAAAAGAGACAACGGGGCAGTGCAAGAGAGAGGATGAATGACAGGGGAGTATGAGCTGTGCTGGAGAAAAAAATGTGATTGAGTGAGGCATGGAGAATGAGGCACGGGCAAGTCAGGAAGCCGCTTGGTCGAGAAAGAAGGGAACGAAGGCAGGGATGAGTGAGAGGGAAGGCGAAGGTGGGTTGGGATGAAGCGAAGCGTACAGGTCCTGTAGGCGAGTGAGTGGAGCGAGACACGAGAGGTCGTCCATGGAGCCTTGCATCACAGGGGGTCTCATGGATGACTGAGCCGAGAGAATGCTGCGAGAGAGACAGACAGCAGCGGAGAGGGAGATGGAGAAGCGTGATTAGCCTTCTGTGTACTGCATTTGCACATGGCATGAAAGGGCACAACAGCAGCAGTTGTCACGGCACAGGGTAGAGCAGAAGCCGTGTGTGCGTGGGTGCATGGAGCAGGTTGAGAAGGTTGGAGAACGAGAGGCACTGAGGCATGTGAATGGAGCAGCTTTAATCACACGGCTGCCATTGTCATATGAGCTGCCCTGCTGCACTATGCCCTTCTCAGTTGCATTGCATCATCCCAAGCACCAGCTTCTCGACCTGCATGCATAGGTGCCGTGCCACCAATTGCCTGCTCTCAAAAACTGTTCTCGCCTGTTGTTTCTATAGCCATGTGACGCTGCTACAGTTCAGCACACAGATGTGCGTGGCAAATGTGCTGGCAATTTGCACACATCATGCAGCATGTGGGTGTGAACCAGCAGGCAGCAGGAGTACCAAGCCATCCCCATCAATCTCACTCTGTTGGGTCATGGCTAAGGAATGGATCAGTAGAGACATGGAACTGAGGCATCCCAATGTACCTGCATGTTGAGGCAGTGCGACGGGGGAAACTCAGCCGCAGCGTTGGGAAGTGGAGAAAGCACAAAGGAACTTTCCAACTCAGGATGTACACGACGCACATCACAGAGAAGTAGTTGAATCAACGAAGAGAAAGGGGAGGATTAGGGGAAAGGGGGGGTGTGAGGGGGAGTTTAGAAGGAAAAACTCGGAGGTACAGGTATTCGAGAGCAGTAAGACGACTGATGCTGCAGGGGAGACTTCCACTGAGAGCCACGCCCGTGAGGTCACTGAGATGGTATGCAAGCAAGTTGGTGTGCATGAATGCATGTCAACAGGGAAGAATGTGCATTGGCACAGACATGTATGAGTTTGTTTCGTGTGAATGAATTCTTTCATAGATTGAGGATGAACGCTGCATAAAAACACAAAACCATCCTTCATGTGACTGTTTGAGTCGCCCCCATCCACAATGCGACACATGCTGGAAGCCTGAGTTTACATTTTGTGGCAGAAAAGCAGCTGCAGGCCAGCATCATGCGTCGCCCATGCCTTGCCACTAGGACCTCCTCTTACAGGAATGTCAGACTCTTGGCATTGCTGATGGACTCAGGGATGGATCCATTGAAGCCAGTGAAGCTCAGATCTCTGTCGTGGCAACCAAGTGGGTGTGGTAGGCAGGCACAGCTTACACAAGGGATGGGAGAGGGAGATAGGAGCTGGCAAAATGACGTCGAGAATGCCTTCAGAGGTGAGAAGGAGCAATGATGGAGTGGAACAAGGTGCGTACACATTTTGCAATTTGGGTAGTTGGCCAAGAATCTCCAGGCTCCCTGTAATTCCAGTGTGACTCAGACCCCTGCAGGGAGTTATTCAAGAAGGAGTGGTGAATTCAAGTGAAGCGAATCACAACTTTGGTGCGCTTCAATAGTCTACCTACAGAGCAGCAGAATGACGAAAGCAAAGATACGCGGGGAGTTCCCAACTGTGTACTATACATAATCAGGGGTTTTTGTAGGTCAACAGCACACGTGTTTCAGTGGTGGTTGAGCACAACACAACACACGGCCACAGCAACCCAATCTGTGGCCCTTCAATCACCCCTACGGCCATCCTCGTGCCTTGATTCCAAAAGCAGTGTGCACTTACAGCTGCTGAAGCGCGGAGAGGTTTGTCATGGCTGGCGGCACGACTCCAAATCCAAACATGCGTTCATCATCTGAATATACAGACCTACATAATAGCAGAAAAACATCGCACATTATCCAATGAGGAAAATTCAGGCAGTAGACAATTGCATGGGGGCAGGAGATGGCAGCAGGTTCATCAATGTCTGCTGCCACCACGTACACTCCACCATGCAAGTACATGCCATTAGCTTCTCAGCACGTTCCTATGGCATGACCGACCTTGCAGTTTTGCCTCTCTTATCATCCATCATCAAAACAGCCTTTCCTATACCATGCATTGCCCTTCCCTTCCCTCACCATCCTCGCTTCCTCTTCCCCCTTACCCCCTGTAATCCATTTCATGGTAGTACTCACAGGTGGGTTACCATGCCCTGTCGGTTACATCCTGTGAGGGCCCCCCACCCATCACAGAACACGTTAGATTTGTTGTTGTTCCACAACCCCCATGCTGTGCCCAGGGCCAGAAGCGCTTGAACTGGGGGGAAAGGTTGAGGAAAGGGTTGTTTTGGGGACGAGAAGGCAGGACGGAGGGAATGAGTATGGCTCGATATATCGGCTTGGCATCTATATTCTTCTGTTTCCGAAAGGGTGCTGCATTTGTTAGTTGGCTGAATTATGCGACCCTTCGCAGCCCCGACAAGAATGATAGTCATTCGGAGAAAGGTTCTCACTTTGAGAGGGTTGGAGCTTGATGCGCGCGTGACTCGGCGTTACCACGGACGCAGCGACTTGGCGCGGGCGACGAGCTACAGGCAGGCGACCGTCCGGTACACGGTAGGCGCTAGCAGCGGTGGACGCGAGAAGCATGACGACGACCAGCACGCGACAGACCAAGTACGGATAGAGAGTATCGAACGCCATACTATAGAAGGAAAAAACGCGGCTTGCGAATATCGTAATTCAAAGATTTTCGTTGTGCATAATCAAGAAACTTCACATACAGGAAATCGGTGAAGACACAACGAAGGGAGGAAAATCACGAAGCAGGAATTTCGCGCGACTGATTTCACCTGCTCGACTGGCAAGATCCAGGTCAACTCGGGTGACGCGACTCGGCCCGGGGTCCGATTTTTTGTGTTCGGAGTGCAAGACTGGCTTGCTTGGTTTGATTGTTTCTTTCACACATCTCCTTTGGACACTTCATGCTGACGCGGCAGTCCAAGTACGGGTAGAGAGGGAGGAGCGTAGAATTTTGCGGAGAGAATTACTGTAGAATCATGTTCGGCGATTCCTTCTTGCTCGCGTGGCCTCGAATTACTCGAGTGGCCACCAAAAATTGGTGATAATTACTCGAGTGGCCGCGCAAGGGGATTCACGCACGCTTTTGTATTTTTCAGGCGCATTACCCTACGGGGGTTTGTAGCCCCGAAAGTTTGGAGTGATTATTGAGCGATTTTCATTATCCGGAATTTATGTTCGTGACATTAGGACGTGGGCCCAATCGACTTTGATCGGCGCGATCAGAGGCGATCAATAACTTCGAGGAAGACGGAAAGCCAATTTCAGGCAATCGGGGGCAATCAGCTGATCGCGCCATCTCGATCAACCGCCTCGAACAGCCCGATCAGACCCGATCAGACACAATTAGCCCCGATCACTTGCTTGCATGTGATCGGGGCCCTTGGCCATATAAGCGACATGTAACACGTCTCGCCATGAGGTCTCGAAAATCCTCGCTCATACATACAGACCAGCGAGAACTGTTCAGGAGCTGACCTTCAGCGTAGTACAATATTTGCGACATTACTACGATACTTGGATTCGCCCATCTTGCCGAAGTTGGGGTGCAACTACCAGGTAATGGGCCACATGTTGTCATCCAAGACCGCAAAATATTCGAGGAAAACCAATTTTGATCGGGCGGCGCGAGAAAAACGATCGCAAGCAATTCGATCCAATCCAACCCGATCAGATCCGAGCTGATCAAAGTCGATTGGGCCCACGTCCTTATATGACCGCGCCTGATTGGACGCGGATTGCCAAAAAAGGCACCACGCATATAATTGACCAATCATGCGTGGTCATTAAATCCCGCGCATTGTCGCCCGGGCATTGCAGTTTATGATCGAGGAAATATATGTGGGGCATTAATATATGATGCTCGTGACCATTAATGGCTACGCATGATTGGTCGATTATGTCAGAGGTCCACTGGAGATCCCCGATTGATCTTAGGGAAGGGTTACAGGCACGTTGGCCTGGGGGGTTATGGGCGAACTAACCCGCTCCTTAACAAGCCCTTTTATCCCAATGGTCTAGTGGTTGGGATTTTGACATGGTATGAGATTAAAGGTCTCGGATTCAAATCCCAGTGTGTGCACTTAAGGCATCTCAGTGCGGAGGGTGTCAAAGGTCTATTAGAGGCCCTCGATTGATCCTACGGAAGGGTTACAGGCACGTTGGCCTGGGAGGTTATGGGCGCACTGACCCGCTACTGAACAAGCCCTTTTTATTCCAATAGTCTAGTGGTTGGGATTCTGACAGATTAGGGCGCGTGTCTTTGTCAGAATATTATCTTATTGTTCTAGCCTGTAGTGGGGTGCTCTATAGCGAGTACAACCCTTCTAGGGTTTGCTATTTGTATCCTCATTCTTGCTAGTTCAATCCTCTTTCTTCCTTCTAACTTTGACATGCTATCAGAGCAGGTCGATCCCCTTGGATCGATCCTGTGGGTGTGTCCCCACCTTGCTTCCGCTGCTATTTTTTCCTCCCGCCGTGCGCCCCGAGGCGCGCGGCGGTTCATTGCCCGCTGTGCGCCCCGAGGCGCACGGCGGGCTTCTCCCCTACGTCGCGGCCCCGCCCCGATCGTCGCGGCCCCGCCCCTTGACGCGGCCCCGCTCTACGTCGCGGCCCCGCCCCGGCCCGTCGCCGCCCGTGCGCCTGCCCGGCTCGGCCCCGCCCTTCGTCGCGGCCCCGCCCCGGCCTGTCGCCGCCCGTGCGCCTGCCCGGCTTGGCCCCGCCCTATGTCGCGGCCCCGCCCTACGAAGCGGCCCTGCCCTACGTCGCGGCCCCGCCCCGACCGTCGCGGCCCCGCCCCTCGTCGCGGCCCCGCCCCTGCGTCGCGGCCCCGCCCCTCGAAGTGGCCCCGCCCTACGTCGCGGCCCCGCCCCGACCGACGCGGCCCCGCCCCGGACCCTACGCGGCCCCGCCCTACCTTCGCGGCCCCGACCTGTCGCGGCCCCAACCGACCGTCGCGGCCCCGCCCTACGTCACGGCCCCGCCCCGACCGTCGCGGCCCTGCCCCGCTCGTCGCGGCCCCGCCCCTTGTCGCGGCCCCGCCCTCCCCTCAGGTCCGTGGTGCCCCCCCCCCCCCCCCCCCCCCCCCCCCCCCCAATTCCCGTCGCCTGTCGAGGCGACCTGAGGGGGCCGCTTGCTGTGGGGTGGCGGGTATGGGGGTGACCGGTGTGCCTTCCTCCCTTTCTCCTCCTCCTCCTTCGTCTCCCACTGCTGCAGCTGTCGCTGAGGGGGGTGGTTGTGTGGGAGACTGGGTTTAGGGTTTAAGGGGGGTGCGTGGGAGTAGAGCTAGTGATGTAGCAGTGGGTGTGTATCAGGGGGGTGGGACTGTGTGCGGGAGGATGAGCGGAGGTTGCCAGTTTGTCGTCAGCAGCACCTGTAGTCCGGGGCGCTGTCCCGGTAGCCCAGTCGTAGCCAGCTGTGCCAGCCGCCCGTGGGTCCGTTGCCCGTCCGCCGCTATTTGAGCCGCGGGGCCTGTTACTCCTGTAGTCCGGGCGCTGTCCGGTAGCCGCTGTGCCAGTCTGCCTCCTGTTGCCCGTGTGTCTGCAGCTTCAGCCGTCGCCTCTTGTCTCCTCTCCCCTCACTCTCCCTCCTCCTCCTCACTTGCCCGTTGTGACTACCACTAGCTTTGCTTATAATTGTGAACTCTAAACTATTTCTTCTTGAACTTGTGCTCAGAATGTGTGGTGACATTGTGATCCACCCTGAGCTTGTTTTGCTTTGCCTGCTCTGCTGATTACACCCCACTTTGGCTATGGGGGTGTGTCAGAATATTATCTTATTGTTCTAGCCTGTAGTGGGGTGCTCTATAGCGAGTACAACCCTTCTAGGGTTTGCTATTTGTATCCTCATTCTTGCTAGTTCAATCCTCTTTCTTCCTTCTAACTTTGACACCTCATTGCTGCTAGTGAAACCCCCCTTCTTCTTCATTTCTTTTTCTCTCATTTCATTCTTCACAAGTGCTGCAAAGGGCGACGAACTAGGGCGAATGAATTCCTTCCTCAGTTCGTCCAGTTCGGGTTGGGTCAGTCGGAACTGTCGCTGTACTGTCGGCTGTGCCCCCGGTTCTAGTTCTATCCTGTGGTCGTGCGGTCGCTGAGGTGGCAGTCCCGTCGGTAGGTCATCCGAGAAGATGTCACTGTACTGCTTCAATAGTGCTGCCAGATCACTCCGTACGCCGGCTAGCAGTTTCTGCAAATCCCCTCCTTTGTCTGCTGCCTCGGCTTTCGAATGTCAACCGCGTACACGTCAGCTCCTGCCGCTACGGCGCGTTTCACTCACCCGTCGTCCAGTCGATTCGCGGATTGTGTCGTCCCAGCCAATCACGCCCGAGCAAATATCGGTTCCGTCGAGGGTCGTTGCGAGCATTTCTTGGCTAAACGTGAAGTTACCCCCGCATTGAATCCGAACTCGGTCCAGACGTTCCCGTATCGCCAGTGGCGTGCCGTTGACCAGTCTTGCGTCGATCTCAGATAAACATCTGTCCACTGGCAGTCGCAGTTTTCGTGCTGTGGCAGTGTTGATAAGGCTGTGGCTGGCCCCTCCGTCTACGAATATTTTAACTAAGTCCGTCCTAATTTTCCCACTAAGTAGTATAGGGCTGTCTACCGTGGTACCCTCCTTATTCGGCCGAGTGTGGTCGATTGCGTGAACCGGCACAATCACTCGGTGAGGGTCGGTTGGGTCGGGCGAGCGGCGTGACCTGTCAGTAGAGGGCCCGTCTGCTACTGACTCCCAGCGTTTCCCTGCTGCTTGGTCTGTCTCTGCTGCTCAGCTTCCCCCTTTCCTTTAGCATTTTCCGGGCATTCGCTCTTATGGTGTCCCGACCGATTGCACGCAAAGCAGCGCCCTTTGAACGGTGCGGCAGCGGCATTTGCGGCGACGGCACGTATCGTAGCGCCCTTGTTCATCCCACGAGGCCGATGTCCCCAATTGCTGCTTCCGTAGGACCCCGGTCTCGGTCGGCAGAAGAAATCAAGTTTCTCTACCATGGCGAGAATCTCCTGAAAATCGGTGACGCCGCGAAGCTGGATTTCATGAGCGATGTCCTGCTTTAGGCTGCCGATGTAGCGGTCGATGCGTTCGCTCTCGTGCATGTATCCCACCTGCTTGCATAGCGCCAGAAACCCGCTCGTGTAGTCTTGGACGGAACCGAGTTGGCGCCAAGTGCGGAGCCTCTGTCGCGCCGCGATCGAAGCCGCAATTGGTTCGAAACGAGCGCGCAGGCCTGCACACCACGCGTTCCACGTGCGATACTGGGGCACCTCCACGAAATACAATGGCGCCCAGGGTCCGGTTTGTCCTTCCCGTGTCGGTAGAGTCGCGTAGTCCACCGGCTTCGTGACGATGACACGCCACCAGTCCATGGCCAGTCCTCGCAGCAATGACACGTCGTAGCGAATCTTCGCAGTATCCTCCGAGACGTAGTTCGCGTCGAAGAAGACATTCAACGTGAAGAGCCACGCCTGAACGGTAGGACCACCCCGCTCACTCGGGTCAAAGCATGGCGGACGCTGCGACATCGGCGAAGGTAAAGCTGACTCGCCGGCCGTCACTGAAATCGTGACTCGAGGCTAATTCTTGGCCGCATTCGTCGCATCGGGGCGTGTCGTGCCGTGGTCGTCGTC